TCAGGAGCTGTTTACCAGGGAGATCGGTCTGAGCACTGCTCAGTTCGATGCCTATTTCGCCGACTTTCCGCGCCTCGAGGCGGTTGTCCCGGCCGGGTGCGAAGGTCCCATTACAGAGTCTGAGATCTGGGATGCGCTGAAAGGTTGGCCTGGACAAGACTCCGAGATCAGATGGTTTTCCTTACGAAATGTACTTGAGGCAGTCGCACGTCTTTGTCCCCTTGCTGGCACTGATTTTCAACAACTGGATGAAGCAAGTGTCAACGCTTCACCAGGGGTGTGATTAAGTTGCATCGCAAGAGCAAAGATGGTGGGGATGGGGTAGATAATTATCGGCCTTTGACAATGTTAAACACAGAGTTTAAGATTTTAGCCAGGTCTTAGCTGGTCATTGCAGTTCTGTAGTCCGACTGGTCCCGAGCAGACTTGTGCTGTGAAAGGCAGGACTATTCAGGACAACCTTTATTTGGTACGCTTGATCATCGTCGCAAGTCGACAGTGATGCCGTGCTGATCAATTTAGATCAGTCCAATGCTTTCGATAGGGTTGAACATCGATTCCTGGAAGCTGTTATTTCGGCCGCCGGTTTCCGGTCGGACTTTCGCACTTGGATCCGACTGCTGTATCAGTCCCACCGGTCGCTGGTAGAAGTGAATGGGGTAAGATCGAAACCTTTTCTTTTTGTCTCGCTCCATTCGTCAGGGTTGTCCGCTGTCTCTATTGCTGTACGTTCTTGCGTTGGAACCTTTCCTGCGTAAGTTGAAGACGAATCCGGTTCTTCGCGGAATTTCCTTAACTGGTGCTACCACCTCGCCCAGGTACTCCGCCTATGCTGATGACGTTTCGGTTCTGGTGTCGAGCAGAGCCTAAATTAACAAAGTCATCAAAGAAATCAAAGGCTATATGATAGTTACAGGGGACAAGATCAACCGCGATAAGTCTGTTGGCTTGGAAGGGAGATTCTTTTCCTGGATCTTTCCTCTAGACGAACGGGCCGGTCAAGATACTCGGCGTCTTGTTCGCTCCCGACCTTCTGTTGGAAATGAATTGGTCGGAGGTGCGGGAGAAGGCCGAGGTCGCAGTTCGTCTGTGGTCCCGGAGGAATCTTTCCTTGAAGGGAAGGGCGGAAGTATGTGCCTCGCACATCTACCCGATTCTCCTTTACCGACTCTCCGTGCTTCCACTCCCGTCTGACACTTTACTGGCGTTTGTAAGGCTCTTGTTCTCCTTCTTGTGAGGAGGCAGAGCCGTCATGGTTAGTCGTGAGATCTGATGGCGGTCTGGGTGTGCCTTGCGTTGAGATTCGTCGACATACGCTTCGTATTACTTATCTAGACTGGATGCATATGCAATTGGATGAGAACGGCGAATTCTGGAAGGAAGACGCTCGTAGAAATTTCCATCCTTAAGAAGTTTGCGTTCGACGTAAAAGAGGCCGGCCGTTCACCTCTTCGAGGGCTCTTTCGATCACGAATGTCGGCTTGCCCTCAAGCAACTCTTACGACGAAGGATGGCCTCTCCAACGGGCAGCTGTTGTCCCGTATTATATCAAGGCATTATATGAAGTTGCTAGTTAGGGGAATCGTTCAAGATGATTTGATAGGCGAGCTCGGTCTGACGAAGCGGGAAGCTCGTTGCATATGGCTTTGGGCGCCCGGGTTGAAATGTCTCACTAGCACTGAGGCATCACTCACCTGGCTGATGATTCGAGGGGCTCTCTGGGTCGCCAAAAGACTTTGTTCGGCGTGTTTGACAAAGTCATCAAACAGCGTTCGCTGCAGTGGGGAGATGGAGACCCTAGGTCACGCCTTTTTTCATTGTAGTCTCGTAGCTCCATTGTGCAAGTTTGTTGAAGACATCATGGCTCGCATGCTGCGCGTAATGTTCTTTGTCCTCGAGGCCAGTTCCGTCTGTAGCAATATAGTATCGCCGTTGACTAAGGCTGAGCACTATGTGTTCCTTTGCTTACTGGGGGTTATGCGAGTCGTGATATGGACGACGCGACAGGAGGAATTTCATGGGGCCGAGAAGTTTACCTCTTCCCAACTGATCTTGTTCTTTAAGCATCAGCTTAAAGTCAAGATCAGGACGGAAAGGAAACGACTCCATTCATTGGAATTTGCCGAAAGGTGGGTGAGTCTTGCGCGTCTCTGCCGAGTGAAAGGTGCTGACTTAGAGTGGCATTTTGATGCCGGTTAGGAAGATATTGCGTTGCTGGGTTGAACATTGGCAATCCTTCCCTTAATAGTTTAGTGTAGGTCGTTTTAGTATTATTTTCTTCTCTTTAGTTAACTTAGCTAGGGTCATTGGCCCCTTTTATTTTTGTCCCTATTTTTAGGGGGGGAATTCCCTATCCGTCCCATATTTAGGTGGATAGTGATGTTAGTTCTTTGGTGGGTGCGGGGCGACTTTTGTTTCGGTTGTGATTTTCCTAACTGTTTTTGTGTTTGAATGAGTGTGTGTTTGGGTGAGTGCATGGGATGGATAGACCTTTCATAATCCTTTCCCGCATTGATTTCGTCCAGTTAACTGATGTTACTGACACATTTAGGGCTGGTGGGGGTTTATTACTAATACATTTTTGTTTAGTTTCTTGTATATAGTTTTGTACACATTTTAAATACTCGTTGGGGTTTTAAGGTTTTTTAATTGTTATTTTTTTTCTCTTCCGCCCAGACATTCTCTATCTATAAAAGGCAGGATGTGTGTGTGTCTGTGTGTGTGTGTGTGTGTGTGTGTGTAACGAATGCACGGCCGCAATTTTAGACGGATTTGCACCAAAATTTGCATGCACATGCTCCAAGTTAGCGGAAAGTCCAAGACCAACTTTGCATTTCCCAACTTCCATCGATAGTGGAAATAATCGATATTTTCATGCTTCTACGGCAGTTTTCATGTAGTTTGCGGCCATTTTCTACTGACCAGAGTGAAATCCTATAGCTGGCTGCCACGAAGAGGCAGGAAGATTCTATTGGCCATCGTGAGAGCCAACAGCTGACTGACACGAATGTTAACTAGGATGCAAAAAAATCGATAGCTGCATTCGTCACAAGTGGGAAAAATTTAAATCTACATGGCACTTTACTCCAATTGGCTCATTCACTTGCTTAAACTCAACGTTGATTCTGATTCCGCAGAACTGGTTTGGGTGTGAAAAAGTATTTGTTGTTAACATTCTTCTTTCATTCGGTTTTTCCATTTATGAGTCCTTTTTTAAAGCCGATCGTTTTGTGTTCATTTTGTTTAGTTCTTTTTTTTGTAACAGATTTAATGTTTAGTATAGAGCTTAAAAAAATTCGCAGTGTGAGATAGGCAAGAAGTAAAGCATGTAGCAACATCATCACGGCAAAGGGCACTCCTTTAAAGGCAAGGAAGGGCAAAAAAAATTTTAAGTCAAGTGATAGCGATTGCTATATGAGTCGTACGATTTTGGAATCAAGCACGGGCAACGCCGAGCTATGCTGCTAGTGATGTATATATATATATGGTCCATAGTTAGGATTTCATAGAGTTTCTGAGGCATTATGGTGGATGATGTAAGAATGGGTTGTTTTGGTAAAAATAATAATGTTTGTATGTTTGGGTCAGTGTTTGTGGCTAGATAAGTTTCATGATAAAACAGAAGAAGACCGTCCTTTCCTCCTTTCTCCTTTTTAGCCTTGTGCCCTACTTGTACATTCGTACAATAAATATTATGGCATTTATATTCTATACTCTATTAATATTGGGATCGTTATTCTCTATACTATTTCACTATACAGATTACTATTCGAGCGAGTATTATCGAGCAAGTACTATTAGTGTGAGAGTGTTATTCGAAGGCGTCTGACACCAGTATTGTTCAACGGCGTTACTATAGTCGTATCTGCGATTACAAAGTCTCTACTACAACGAGCATTACGAAAATGAAAACGAGTATTCGTAGACAGTACACAATTTTCAAACGAGTGTTCGTTGACATAACAAAACATTTGCACCGGGTCTCTTTTGTAATGTTACGAAAATGGATTTACTGACGTCCTCTGGTATATCGCCACTGTGTAGCCCCGCATCCACCAGAGAACTGACATAACTATCCACCTAAAGATGGGAGGGATGGCGAATTTGTGACAGAAACACATCATATCCTAAAGTCTATGCGAAATGCTTAAAATTTCAATTTCATTAATATTTCTTATCAGGGGATAAGCTTCTTTCTACATACAGCATTCTAATCGCAATCATTCTAAATTTAAAAAAAAAAAAAAAACATTCTATGTATATTTGTAAAAAGAAATCTTGAAATTTTGTTCATCTAATATTTCTGATTATTGTAACACATTTTATCTGTTTTCTCTTTATCACTAGATACATGTATTATGAATGCATAAATATGCCGTAGGAATTAGCAAGTATTTTGTTCATGCGTCGTTGAAATCACACTGTAGAAGGCATATCGTTTAAAAAGGCATACAATTGTATCCCGGTTCGTTACTGCGGTCATTGTATACTCGTACTTTGGTAAGAAGCTGTAGTTCAATCAATTATTGAAAGACAACGATTAGATAGATAGATAGATAGATAGATAGATAGATAGATAGATAGAATAGACTGAGATAGACAGGTAATAGACTGAGATAGACAATAGAGACAGAATAAACTGATAGATATGAATAGGCTGATAGATAGATGATAGATAGAAGATTTGAACTGATTAAGAAATATGAATAGATAGATAGATATATAGATAGATAGATAGATAGATAGATTTGAGATGAATAACAGGTAGACAGACAAAACTGATAGATAGATATACTGATAGAATAAATAGATAAATAGAATAGATAGATAGATAGATAGATAGATAGATAGATAGATAGATAGATAGATAGATAGATAGATAAAGGAATAGACTGAGATAAATAGACAGGTAGACAGACAAAACTGATAGATATGAATATACTGTGATAGAATAAACTAAGATCAATATGAATAGGCTGAGATAGATAGATTTGGGGTGATTATGATAGATAGATAGATAGATAGATAGATAGATAGATAGATTTTAGATGATTATAATAGATAGATAGATAGATAGATAGATCTGAGCTGATTAAGATAGATAGATAGATATGGATTGATAGATAGATAGATAGATAGATAGATAAGGAATAAACTGATATAGACAGGTAAACAGACAAAACTGGTGAATATACTGTGATAGATAGAATAAACTGAGATAAATATGAATAGATAGATAGATAGATAGATGGGTTTTCTAAACGTAGCTTCTTTGTGGCACAAGACCGATAGGATACGCAGTGAGGATAGAACTCACGGCTTAATTGCAATTAGTTCTAGCGAGATAAGCTTGCTAACCATTGCACCACGTCGATGGGCCAGACAGATAGATAGATAGATAGATAGATAGATAGATATGAATAGATTGATATAGATTAAATATACTTTAATGTTTAAAAAAATATTCAGTATTATTATTATTGTTTAGGTAATAAGCATTTACAAATAGCTATATTGTGGAAAAAGCAATTTTCGACCATATACGCATTTTTATTACATATTTATGGCTATTTTTTAACTTTTATCAAATACGACATTCTTGAACATGTAGTTATTTATAATATTGTACATAAATTGCTAATTTTTTTCAATTAATAACTATTTGTGCTAAGTTGTTGAGGTTAATAGTTATCCGCTGATGTGTTAAAATTTTGGAATAATGCAATAGAATAAATTTAAATTTCATCTCTCTGATAGATGTCGCGATTTGTAAAGAGGAGCCTGACATCCATAAGACCTCTTTCCGTTACCATAATACTGGTTGGCACTCATTTTGTTCTTCGAGACGTCACCTGTAATGAAAATTGTGTCACTGTGGTTTTCTCTTGGCTCAAGGCCGGTATGGTTGACTTCATTCGTTCTTGGAAATACCAGATGTTACCTCAATCTTCTCTATGCTTTAAAACAGCATGTTCTGCCGCTATAGCCAACGGGAACCACTATTTTCGGCTATACCGGCGTGACAGCTCCGGTCACAATTGACACCTACTCGTTGTTGATCGTAATAAATGTAAATGAGCCCTCGACATCTCTGCTGAGACAGTGAGGTACAGTATTGAACCTAAAAAAACTTTGGCTATCGTGATTAGTGGCGGTTGTGTAACAGTGTATTAAATAAGAGTAAATTCTCTATTCCTCCCCTCATCAAGGTGTTGACGTCTTCTGCTGAGAAAGCTGAATACTTCGGGCGTAAATTCTCCTTAAACTCTATTCTTGACTCATCTAGAGTACTCCTGCCTAATTACTCACTTAGAACTGAGTCTCCGTTGAATGATAGGCATATAATCCCTTCTGTGGTTTCCGCTATCATTTATGACCTAGATCACTAAAAAAGCATGTGGAACTGAAGAGGCACCAGTAATTTATCAGGAGGAACCAGCGACTTCCCAGAAGACATCAGCGACTTTGCAAGAGGCACCAGCGACTTTCCAAGAGGCACCAGTAACTAACCAGGAGGAACCAGCGTCTTCCCAGGAGGAACCAGTGACTTTCCAGGAGGAACCAGTGACTTTACAGGAGGAACCAGCGACTTCCCAGAAGGCACCAGTGACTTTCCAGGAGGAACCAGCGTCTTCCAAGGTGGAACCAGTGACTTCCCAGGAGGAACCAGCGACTTCCCAGGAGGCACCAGCGACTTCCCAGAAGACACCAGCGACTTCCCAGGAGGAACCAGTGACTTTCCAGGAGGAACCAGCGACTTCCCAGAAGGCACCAGCGACTTCCCAGGAGGAACCAGTGACTTTCCAGGAGGAACCAGCGTCTTCCCAGGAGGAACCAGCGACTTTCCAGGAGGAACCAGTGACTTCCCAAGAGGAACCAGCGACTTTCCAGGAGGAACCAGCGACTTCCCAGGAGGAACCAGTGACTTTCCAGGAGGAACCAGCGTCTTCCCAGAAGGCACCAGCGACTTCGCAGGAGGAACCAGTGAATTTCCAGGAGGAACCAGCTTCTTCCCAGGAGGAACCAGCGACTTCTCAGAAGGCACCAGCGACTTCCCAGGAGGAACCAGTGACTTTCCAGGAGGAACCAGCGTCTTCCCAGAAGGCACCAGCGACTTTGCAGGAGGAACCAGTGAATTTCCAGGAGGAACCAGCGTCTTCCCAGGAGGAACCAGCGACTTCTCAGAAGGCACCAGCGACTTCCCAGGAGGAACCAGTGACTTTCCAGGAGGAACCAGCGTCTTCCCAGAAGGCACCAGCGACTTCGCAGGAGGAACCAGTGAATTTCCAGGAGGAACCAGCGTCTTCCCAGGAGGAACCAGCGACTTCTCAGAAGGCACCAGCGACTTCCCAGGAGGAACCAGTGACTTTCCAGGAGGAACCAGCGTCTTCCCAGGAGGAACCAGTGACTTCCCAGGCGGCACCAGTGACTTCCCAGAGGCACTAGCGACTTCCCAGGAGGAACCAGTGACTTTCCAGGAGGAACCAGCGACTTCCCAGAAGGCACCAGCGACTTCCCAGGAGGAACCAGTGACTTTCCAGAAGGAATCAGTGACTTTCCAGGCACCAGTGACTTCCCAGGAGGCACCAGCGACTTTCCAGCAGGCACCAGCGACTTTCCAGGAGGCTCCAGTGACTTCCCAGGAGGCACCAGCGACTTCCCAATAGTCATTTAGAAGGTTTTTTTCCCCCGAACTGGTCCCTCTTCTCTTTTGCTTTCCAGCTTGCTAGACTTCGCAGATGATGTTCCACTTCTTAAAAACTAGGTTTAACTGTCTATTCCTTCCAAATATTGTCCGATTAGCATTGTACCTCTTTTAAGGAAACTCGTAGAGGCTCCATTCAATGCTTATACCTTAATTACTTTTTTTTTATTAGGTTGGTGCAAAAATAATGACGTAATAATGTCGTTTTTTGACCTTAAAAATAAGTCAAAAAAACGACATTGTTACGTCATTATTTTTGCACCAACCTATTAATAACTATTTGTGTCCAGTTGTGGATGTTAATAGCTATATGTTAAAATTTTGGAATAATGCACTAATAAAAATTTAAATTTCATCTCTCTGATAGATATCGTGATCTTTTAATTCAATGTATGGAAATTGAAAACTGTGGAAGGAATGTTTGCTACCCTTCCTGCAAATTAAGGTGGCTACCTGGTCCCATTCGCTAGCGCTGCTTTCTTCGGAACCACGTACTAAAATCGCCTCGTCTCAGCGTCTTGCTGAAAATTAAATTAGCTATCCTTTCTTCCCACGGTGATATCAGCAGCACACTTGCCTGTACTGGTTGCTTTTATTGCCCTTAAGAGACGAATTCTGTTCACTTCTCCTTCATAGAAACGTGCCATGTCCATTTAGAACATCTGCAATCATGGCCCTCCACCCTTCTTATTACTTGCGGCACTTAGCCACTTTTGTCACTCTGCTAAATTTCCCTCTCAGTCGTTTTGCTAACTCGTTAGGTGGGTGGCCTTCCTTTATCTCTCCTATATACCCTTTGAGTCTTAAGTTTTCCAAGACCTCCTTCCTCATTATGTATCTAAGAAAGTTCAGCTGTCTTTTTATGGTTCTGAGTATAAGTGTTCTTTTTAATGCAATTTTCTTTAAGAATTCCACCCCTGTCATACTCATTATCCTTCTGTAGACCCGGTTTTCTCTTCATTTCAGTTTTCTCTTCATGTTTGGGGATATTTTTCAGCTTTCACTGCCATCAAATTGAAAGGATACGGTGGTTGTTGCCGCGTCTTTGATTTGATTTAATCTTTCTTAGCAAATTTTGGTTAATACTGTTTTTAAATATGAAAGTAACATTTATAATTGAGGATAGATGGTTTGGAGAATTCGACACTCACAGGTCATACTGAAAGCAAGATGGACAATAACCAGTGACCTACCTAAAAAGCTTGTGTAAATAGATGGAGGAGAGCAAGGTGGGGTAATAGTAAAATGACAAACATTGGTAAGAGCTTCAAAGTAGAGGAAGCTGTGGAGAGCCATGATCAACCACATTTTAACGGGACACGGGACAAAGAAGAAAGCTTATCAGGGTAATTTTGTATAAAATCACGACGAACTGAACATTTATTTTTTCTTTTTATATGCATTTTAAAGATCGATACGATTATGGTCCTCCAGAACGTCCTGTCTGTTTTTGCTCTGAATAAATTTCCATCCTTTATCGCCATTCTTTTACTACGTTCTCCCCTCCATTCTCACAAATCTCGTTAAATGGGTTACTTGTTGTTCTCTTTGATTCACTTGCCCTTAAATATGTACCCTCAGAAATTGTTTCTTTCTAACTGGAATTATTTCGATTATTCCCCATTTTCCAGTGTCTGTCTATATTTCTGAGATGAGGTATTATGTACACTATTTACATTATTCGGACTATTGCCCTCATCTTTATCGCCATATTTATTACAATGTTTCGGCCTTTCAGTATCTGTCTATATTTCTGAGATGAGGTATTATGTACACTATTTACATTATTCGACTATTGTCCTCATCTTTGTTGCCATATTTATTACAACGTTTCGGCCTTTCAATATCTGTTTATATTTTTGAGATGAGGTATTATGTACACTATTTACATTATTCCGACTATTGTCCTCATCTTTGTTGCCATATTTATTACAACGTTTCGGTCTATCACTATCTGTCTATATTTCTGAGATGAGGTATTATGTGCACTATTTACATTATTCAGACTATTGTCCTCATCTTTGTCGCCATATTTATTACAACGTTTCGGCCTTTCAGTATCGGTTTATATTTCTGAGATGAGGTATTATGTACACTATTTACATTATTCGGACTATTTTCTCATCTTTGTTGCCATATTTATTACAACGTTTCAGCCTTTCAGTATATGTCTATATTTCTCAGATGGGGTAGTATTTGCAAGCCAGTTAACCACTGATTGGAGGTTATATTCAAAAGCGTATATATATATATATATATATATATATATATATATATATATATATATATATATGTGTGTGTGTGTGTGTGTGTGTGTGTGTGTGTGCGCGTGTGTGTGTGTGTGTGTCTTTGTGTGTGTAAAAAGTTCATTGTATTCTCTCAAAAATTTAAAATGTCAATAGTAGTAACACTATTAGAAAAAATATTCCTCCATAGTTCCTTCCCACAAAAGACGAGATGCTTGGTCAGGACCGATTTTATTGCAGACGCATCTCTGGATTTTGTCGAGATTCTCGAGATGTACAGAAGGAACACCAGACCAGATATGGAAACAGTATTCATTATAATGGTAGATTTATAAATGTGCAAGATGGATTCGGAATAGAGGAAGAAAAAAAGATTCTGGTATGAAAACAATGAACCAACCTTCCTTTTAGTAGTCGTAGCAATTGATTCGATATTGTCGCTCTACTTCTTGTCAGTAGAAAACGTAAAGCCGAGAGCACGTAGGGTGTTACTCTTTTGGAGTTTAACATCAGCCATGCTGATGTCAGACAGAAAAGGTTATCTGTGATGATTAAATGCCGAATATTTCCTTATAATGAAACGGCCAATATCACCATTACCATTATTAATATTTAGCTTGTTATTTTAGCTATTCAAATTTGTTTCATCCTCAAAGGATTCGATTGCGGAAACGAATAAGGGTTGATTCCACTTAACTTAACGAAACGACCAAAAGCTGGTTTTACCAAATTTAGTGGTATGACAAAAAATTGTTTCTCTATAATATACACTGACTATTAACCCTGCGTTAGTCATCTCGGATTTCCGAATATTGATACCCCCCGCCAGAGATATTTACACACTCCAACATGAAAGTGCTTATAGTGCTACAATTATGCTGCAACAGACCAGATATACTAACAAGATGGAGATGGATTCGGACGAGAGAAAAAAAGATTCTGGCATGAAAACAATGAGGCAACGTTCCTCGCAGTAGACGTAGCAAGTGGCTCGATATAGTCACTCCACTTCTTGTCAGTGGAAAATGTAAGGCTGAGAGGACGTAGGATGTAGCTTTGCTGGAGTTTAATAGCAGCCATGCTGATCGCAGACAGAAAGATTTCTCTGTGGTTATTAAATAAAAAACAGTTTTCATGTTGTAGGCGTTAAAATTTGCAAGCCATTTCTTGCTCCAGTTAACAACTGTTTGGAGGTTATTTTCGAGAATATATATATATATATATATATATATATATATATATATATATATATATATATATAATATCAAAATCAAAAAAAATTATTTTCGTTATTCATTCAAAATACTCAAATTTTATGAATACGTTTTCACAACATCGCCCACGTGACGACGACGTGATCATATTTAAACGGAACGCTGATCTTATAAAAGATTTCAGGTATCTGTTTGGATTGGTATTGCTTTTATGTCCATCGTCTTTTTCATGTTGAATTGTATATGGTCTATGTTAATTAGGTTTTATGAATATGTCCTGAAGATGGTCTATTAGACCGAAACGTCCGACGTTGACATTAAACATTAAAACAGCATAATCGTATATTAGGATTTTTTTTGTTTTTTCAGTATATTTTTCTTCATATATATATATATATATATATATATATATATATATATATATATATATATATATATGTATAAAAATCCCAAAACGTGTAAAACATGAGGCTAAGAATGTGTAAAGTGTTGCTCTCCTGGAGTTTAGAATAAGTCAAGCTGATAGCAGAGTATTTGTTATTATGATTGTAGAAAAGACAGTGATAAAGTGCAAACGATATGTCTGGTCAGGATCGTTTACATTACAGATCCTTCTTTGGATTTAATCAAGAATCTCAAGATGAACGGAAGGGGCTCCAGACCAGATATGACAACCGTATTCAATACGAATGGATGTTTTATAAATGTGCAAGATGAATTCTGGCGAGAGATTCTGCAGTGAACCAACCCTCCTCGAAGCAGACGTAGCAATTGACTCGTTATAGTCACTCCACTTCTTGTCAGTGGAAAAAGTGAGTCTGAGAGGACGTAGAGTGTTGCTTTCCAGGAGTTTAACATCAGCCATCCTGATAGTGGGCATAATTCCGAACTTATTCTTTTAGAATGGCTTTATGTCAAGGGTAGGAGTGAAGACACGGATTCCTAACTTTCACATGCGAAAGTGAACGCAACAGACTAAGCATGAATCGATTTCCACTCACCGATTCCTGTTTCTGCACAGATAACTGCTACACACCCGCACACACCACAAATGTCTTGGTTAACATTGATAAATACCCGTATTATTCTGATACCTATTCATTTCAAAGTTGAAAATCTCCGATACTAGATTAACGGTGGGGGCTTGTAATCCTCCTACCCACCAGGTGAATGTAACAAGACTTTACAATCCTTTTGGTATATCCATTTTTTTTTATCTATCTATATTTTGCTTTTGTTTATTTTCTGTTTTTATACAGATGAATGCATTTCTGTTCGGAGGCAGATGTTTTATTCAAAGACAGTTAGCACTGCCAATTTGAACGCGTGAAAATCTAATAAAACTGTTTTTCAGTAAGTCCTTAAGGTCTCAACGCTACCACTACAACGACGACGATAATCTCCACCACCACCACCATTGTTACTACTAATCTTACTCCTCTTCCTCCACCACCGTCAAGACTATTATTACTACTACTATTACTAATAAGATGCATTGTTGATCCTAATGGTGGCTTCGCCACTGGTTCTCCTGCTGGTGACGGCAGGGGCGGCGAAGGTTGATGGGAATGGCAAATTGAGGTAAGATTTATTTTCTTCAAGACAAAATGCCTTCCTTATCTGATCATAGTTCCAAAATCGGTTAATGAGTTCCTTGCCGATGGAAGATTCGGAATTTGCAGCCCAAAGAATTGAAATCATTAACGTTCAAATCTCTACAGCTATTTTTGGTTTTCTAATCCACCTTTCCCAACCCCCGGCTTCACCGCCATCATCCTCTTGCCATAACCCGATATCGAATATTCTTCTTCTTCTTCTTCTTCTTCTTCTTCTTCTTCTTCTTCTTCTTATTCTTTCTAAACCTATATTTTCCCTTTCTTCTTCTAGTCGCTGTTTCTACTGTTCTTCATTATTTTAATTATATATTGTATCGTTCATCTTCATATGAGTACACTTTCTTCATTCATTCGTTCGTTTCTGTATACGAACTCTTCCTCCCTTCCTTCCCTCCTTCCTTCCTCACTTATTTCCACCATTTATTCATTCAATTTCCTTTTGCTTCTACATTTTTATCTCTCTTTTCAATGTTTTCTGGTCCTTCTTAAACAACCCTTTCTCACTCTTTATCATCATCATCATCATCATCATCATCATCATCATCATCATCATCATCATCCTGAATATGTATCTACATTTACTTCTTCTTTTCTTCTTCTTCTTCTTCTTCTTCTTCTTCTTCTTCTCAGGTGCCTTTTCTTCCTTATCTACAAGTCAGTGCCTTCATTCATTCATTCATTCATTCTTCTTCTTCTTTATTCATTCATTCTTCTTCTCCTTCTTCTTCTTCTTCTTCTTCTTTATTCATTCATTCTTCTTCTCCTTCTTCTTCTTCTTCTTCTTCTTCCATCTCAATGTACTTTCTCTTCCTTGTTTAGACATCAGATGATTAATTAATTCATATATTCTTCACTCCCAAAAAGTTGCCTAAATAAACTATTTCTTCGTTTCTTCTTCTTCTTCTTCTTCTTATTCTTCCTCTTCTTCTTCAACATCATCATCATCATCGTCCTCATCATCATCATCATCGTCGTCTTTATTGTGTTGTCTGCATATCATCTGATTCACCATTTTCCTTTCCCTCTTTTTCTTGTTTTTCTTCAACTTCATTCTCAATGTGTTTCTCTTCCTTATTTACATGTCGGTTCATTCATTGATTTGTTGTTGTTGTTGTTGTTGTTGTTGTTCTTCTTCTTCTTCTTCTTCTTCTTCTTCCCAGGTGTTTTTTCTTCGTTTCTATCCTTCAGGTTTTTTTTCATTCATTCATTTTTATTCTTATTTTTTTTTTCTTTTCTTCTTCTTCCATTGCCTTTTCTTCATTCATTCATTCATTCATTCTTCTTCTTTTTTTCTTTTCTTCTTTTCTTCTTCTTTCTTCTTCCCAGGTTCCTTTTTTTCTTTATCTACCTTCATTCCTTCATTCATCATTTTTTATTTTTATTTTTTTTTTTCAGGTTCCTTTTCTTCTTTATTCATTCTTCATTCATTCATTCATTCTTCTTCTTCTTCTTCTTCTTCTTCTTCTTCTTCTTCTTCTTCCCAGGTGCTTTTTCTTCGTTGCCTACAAGTATGCACCTTCCTTTATTCATTCATTCATTCATTTTTATTTTTTTTCTTCTTTTTTTCTTCTTCTCCAGGTTCCTTTTCTTCTTTATCTACAAGTCAGCGCCTTCATTCATTCATTTCATCTTCTTCTTCTTCTTCTTCTTCTTCTTCTTCTTCTTCTTCTTCTTCTTCTTCTTCTTCTATTTCAGTGTGCTTTCTCTTCCTTGTTTAGATATCAGATCATTAATTGATTCATATATTCTTCCCTCCCAATAAGTTGCCTAAATAAACTATTTCTCCTTCTCTTCTTCCTCTTCATCATCATCATCATCATCATCTTTATTGTGTTTTCTACATATCATCTCATTCATCATTTTCCTTTCCCTCTTTTTCTTCTTGTTCTTCAACTTCATTCTCAATGTCTTTCTCTTCTTTATTTATTATGTCGGCTAATTCATTCATTCGTTCTTCTTCTTCTACTTCTTCTTCTATTTCTACTTCTTCTTCTTCTTCAAATTCATCTGCAAAATGCCTTTTCTTCTTTATCTACATGTCAGCTCATTAATGGATTCATTCATTTTTCTCCTTTTTCTTCTTTTTTTCCTTCTTCTTTGTTTAATTATATATTGTATATTTCGTCTCCATATAAATACACTTTGTTCATTCATTCATTTCTGACTTTGTACTCTTCTTTCATTCCTTCCTTCCCCACTTCCTTCCTCCATTCATTCATTCTTTCAATTACTTTTTTTTCTTCTACATTTTTTCGTTCTTCTTAATCAAGTCTTTCTCACACTTCTTCTTCTTCTTCTTCATCATCATCATCATCATCATCATCATCATCATCCTGAATATGTAATCTGCGTCTACTCCACATTTCTTCTTCTTCTTCTTCTTCTTCTTCTTCTTCTTCTTTTCCACCTTCCTCTTCTTTGTCTTCTATTTCCACATTCTCTTTCTCCTTGTTTTTCTTCTTATATTTCAACCTTCGTCGTCGTCTTCTTCTTCTTCATCTTCTTCTTCTTTGCCATCTCATTCATTCATTAATTCTCTCTGCATATCATCTTTATCTACAGCCATTTTGGTTTTCTCAACTTATTTTCATTTTTTTCTAATCTCATTCCAAACCATTTTCTTCTCTTCATCTCTACTTTTTCTTCTTCTTTCACCACCCTTTACATTTCTTGCTTTTTCCTCTTTTTTTTTTATTAATGACATTTTCATCTCCCACGTGATCACCTCTTTTTACCAAAACCTCAAGTCTCCATCATTTTACCCCATCACATTATCCTTTCTTTTAAGAACTCCTACCTCCTAATCTTCCTTGCCTTTCTCTTCCTCAACTTCCTTCGCCTTTTACTCTTTTCCTTCTTTCCTCTCCTCCCCCTCTTCCTCCTGCCCTTTCTCCTCCTTTTATGCTTCGATTTCTAAACGCTTTTCATTGGCTTCCATCTTATCATTTACAATTTTCCTTTTCCTTAATTTTATTGATTATAAATATGAATAATACGTACGATCCCTGGTTGTTTACTAATCTTACTATATTAGTTATCTAGTAAGATGATTACTATGTTCCGGCATGTGGTCAAAACTCTGGGATACAATCTGAGGATCAAATTCACTATTCAGCAGAAATGTTCCGCCAGGCCAAATCGGGAGCCGTCTGTCATTTTATGTATGAGATGTGGATAGAAATGCAACGACTAATTATATTTGTCTACGCAAATTATTCGGGTTTGTTATTTTTCCTTTCCTTTCCTTCATTAATTCTTTATTCCTTGCTTATGATTGGCCTTCATCACGCTGCATCTTCCTTGTCAAACTTCATCTTCTCTTTCTTCTTTTTTTTCTTCTCTTCTATGTATAATTGTCATTCTTCGCCGACTTCTCTTGGCTACCATCGGCTTCTCTTTCTACATCTCCTTTTCCTTCTCATTATTATTATTATTATTATTATTATCGATCTTCTTCGCCGTCTTCTTCCTTGGCTACCTTCGTCTTCTACAATTTCTTTTTTCTTCTCATTATTATTATTATTATTATTGTTCTTGTTGTTGTTTTCTTTCCTTTGGTTTCTGGCGTTTACACATTTCTTTCCGGGTCCCGCCCAGGGACCTAAGGTTAGAAATGGCATCATGACACTTTCCACTGACAAAAAAAAAAATATTACATAGATAAAGCAATTCGTAAACTGTGGGCTGTACTTGTCAGAACAATTTTTTGTATCTCTTTGAGGCATGGACTTCCAGGAATCCCTTCAATTAGTCTACTGCAATCTTTTCCAACCAGTCCTAGGGCTCAAACTACAAGAGGGATTGTTGATGTTTCCATATGCCACATTTTCGAGATTTCTATTTCAAGGTCCTTGTATTTTGACAGCTTTTTGAATATCTTCAAAGATACATTGCAGTCAGCAGGGACTGCCATATCAATAAGGATGCTCCGTTTTTGTTTGTGGTCTTTATTATTATTATTATTATTATTGTTGTTGTTGTTGTTGTTTTATTTCTTTTGATTTCTGGTGAGTACACATTTCTTTCCGGATCCCACCCCGAGACCTAAGATCAGAAATGGCATCATGTCATTTTCAACTGGGCAATTAAAGAAAAATTTTAAAAAATGAACAACAATATGCATATTTTACATAGATAAACCCCTTCGTGAGGTGTGGTCTGTAACAATTATTATTATTATTATTATTTTCATTCTTCGCCCCCTTCTTTTCCCCATTCTTCTTGGCTACCTCCGTCTTCTCCTTCTACATCTCCTTTTTGGCTACATTTTTTCCCATGTTCTCTATTTTCCCTTTTGCCTTCATTTCAATATGCTCGAAAGTGCCGTGAAGACTTCATGGTTTTCTTATGTAAATGTTATTAATTCTTCAGTTAATGATTGAATAGGATCATGGCCAGTTCTACGACAATAACATATACGCAGAGATAATAATATTTAACAAAATATTTCTGTAGCAATGATAAATACAAAAGCTCGCCGTTATTTTAAGAAGTAAGGGGATACAAATGTAAAGATTTGTAATTGACAACTTTTTCCCATATCACTCAAACAGACTCTAAACACGTTTACCTTCCGTTCTTTATTTAATTTTTTTCTCACTGAGACCAAGTCCTGTTTTCCCCTCTTCCCACGCGACTAAAACTGATTAGACGTTATGTATCTTCCCTTCTTTCTTTCTTTCTTTCTTTCTTGCCAAATCCCTGACTTATGAACACTTCTTTTAATAATAGTTTAAAATAATTCAGCCAACGATGTTATTTTATTTAATTTGTTGTAATTGGGATTTTCGAGTTCGTCCGTTAAATGGAGTTTTTCTCAAGGACACCATCTTTTCTGGACGGTCTCCTTGTTTAAGTTGGTGAATGTTGCAATAATTCTTGCCCTCAGTGCATTGTTGCTAGGAAACCCTTTACCTTCAGTTCAGTGGGGCTAGGATTTTTTTTTTTTGGGGGGTTCTCCATCAACTGCGCCTCACACTTAATAATCAAACACTGTTAAAGGCTTCCGGAACAATAAAACAGTATATATATATATATATATATATATATATATATATATATATATATATATATATATATATATATATATATATATATATATATATAAAGATAATCCTAAGGAGCCAGGCAAACCTACCTAGGTTGACTTTGAGCTTGAACTCTGGACTATTGTTTTAGCCTAGTTTAATGTTCTTGGTTCTTTTCCTTGGGTACCGATTTGTTCTACTCCAAGTCGAACTACCCAAGGTTTTTCCAAGCGAGTACCACCATTTATATATATATATATATATATATATATATATATATATATATATATATATATATATATATGTGTGTGTGTGTGTGTGTGTGTGTGTGTGTGTGTATGTAGACAGGCGCATGTGCGAACGCACAAACAGATATATATATACAACCAGCTTCACTGGTAATTACACGTAGAAACGAAAACTAATCAGTCAATTGCTGACGAATGTCTGGTTGGGTTTGTCTACGAAACTCTGGAGTCAGGGGATGCTGAAGGTAACATCAATCAGCCAAATGACAAATCTTTTGCACATTTAAGTTAGTATAAAATGATACAAATGTGCAAACAAATATCATATCACGTGTTTTATATCTATCTATCTATCTATCTATCTATCTATCTATCTATCTATCTCTCTCTCTCTCTCTCTATATATATATATATATATATATATATATATATTATTTTATTTAAAAAATATGATTCTAACTCGCGACATAAGAGGTCTCATGTTTTTTCAAAACAAGAGCCGAAAACTTCAATATAATTATTTGAATTAAATTGAGTTAAATAAGCTCTGTTCCATCTTCAAGCGAAATTTATTTGGAATAACGTATTTCTGAAATTTGCGTGTTTTAAAAATTGAAATCAAAATTTCCATGGTAACAGCTGGGGCGAATTGTTTAAATTGGGTAGGCAAGTGTTGGGTGTTAATAATAAGTATCAGTATAGAGTTACTTTCATAGATGTCATGTCAGGGAAAGGTGGGGGTGTCTAAATTTGAAACGGAATATATATATATATATATATATATATATATATATATATATATATATATATATATATATATATATATATATATATATGCCATGATTTTTAACTGTACTGTCTCTAGGAAGATATCTTTAACCATTTCTAAGATACAATGCATGAAACTTTAATATAACAATTGAACAATTTTGCTGTTACAGATTTGGACAATTTTACCGCTACATCCGTTACATAGACACACACACATATATATATATATATATATATATATATATATATATATATATACATGTGTGTGTGTGTTTGTGTGTGTTTGCGTGTGTGTGTGTGTTTGCGTGTGTGTCTGTTTGTGTGTGTGTGTGTGTGTGTGTGTGTGTTAGATACTTTGTATCCTCTTTGGGAATCATTGCTTATGAAGTTAGCCCTACCTAGTTCTGAAATCATGTTGCAAACCAAAATATATATTGATACACAAGCACAAAGACATATATATAATATATATATATATATACATATATGTGTGTGTGTGTGTGTTTTAGTGAGTGTGTGTGTGTGTGTGCGTGTGTGTCTGTCTGTGTGGCTATGTGTTTTCACTTCAGTTGAGAATGAGCTTTTTCACCGAGAACCCTTTCAGCAAGAGTCAAAATAATTGCATTGCCAATTGTCCTCCGAGAACTTACATTTTGACGTCCCTTTCACTCTGACCCTCAGCATCTGCACCGTCAAAAAACGACATTTCATTTGCACTCTTCTCTTTTTTTTAATGCCCGGCGCCTTTAAAAAAACAAAACAAAAAAAAAAAACAATTTTTTATTCATTTAATCGCGATATTTCTTTCTTTTTTCATATCAATCATTCTTTTTTCTTTCTTTTTTTTTCTTTAATTCGATGCCTCGATCCGATTTTTTCCCTTTTTTTCTTTGTTTGCATATTGATATTTCTTTTTTCGTATGGGAATTGTTTCTTTCCTTTGGTGAATCGTTCCGTTCATAGGAATTGTTTCTTTTCCTTTTTAAACCTCCTGTACTTCATTTCCTCTGTATTCAAATACCGTTCTTTCTTTCTTTCTTTCTTTCTTTCTTTCTTTCTTTCTTTCTTTGCTTTCTCGCTTTCTTTCTTTCTTTCTTTGCTTTCTTGCTTTCTTTCTTTCTTTGCTTTCTTGCTTTCTTTCTTTCTTGCTTGCTTTCTTTCTTTATTTCTTGCTTTCTTTCTTTCTTGCTTTCTTTGTATTCTTTTTTCTTTCTTTCTTTCTTTCTTTGCTTTATTTCAATCTTTCTTTCTTTCTTTCTTTGCTTTCTTTCTTGCTTTCTTTTTCTTCGCTTTATTCCTTTTCATCCATTCATCTGTCTTTCTTTATTTTTGCTTTATTTCAATCTTTCTTTTCATTCTTTTCTTTCTTCCTTCCTTCCTTCTACTCCTTCCTTCATTCCTTCCTTCCTTCCTTCCTTCTACTCCTTCCTTCATTCCTTCCTTCCTTCATTCCTTCCACCCATTTCTTTCTTTCTTTCTTTCTTTCTTTCTTTCTTTCTTGCTTTCTTCCTTTCTTGCTTTCTTTGTATTCCTTTTTTTCTTTCTTTCTTTCTTTCTTTCTTTCTTTCTTTGCTTTATTTCAATCTTTCTTTCTTTCATTCTTTGCTTTCTTTCTTTCTTTCTTGCTTTCTTTCTTTGCTTTCTTTCTTCATCCATTCATCTGTCTTTATTTCTTATACTCTTTTCATCTACTCCTTCCTTCCTTCCTTCCTTCTACTCCTTCCTTCCTTCCACCCATTTCTTTCTTTCTTTCTTTGCTTTCTTTCTTTACAGCTTTATATTCAATTCGTTTTGTTTGAATAATTCCTTTTCTATTTTCTTTCTTTTATTCTACGTCTTCCAAAGCGTCACCTTTTGTTTCTGTGTATTTAGATTTATCCATTTAATTAACTTATATTTATTTAACTTATTTATTTAGACCTTCCATGTTTGTCTTTATTTACATCCTCTTCATAGTAAGCCGAGCCTATGTCTCCCCATTATTAATCTCAGGTAAGCAAGACCTCTATCTACACTCTTTGGTCTAGTGTAAACGCTGTCCATATGTACATTTTGCTTCTCATGTAAACCGGACCTATGTCAACAGGATGTATATCGACGTTTTTTACTCTTGTAAAGGGTGTTTCATTAAGACGGATTATTTATAAGGGTGTTTCATTAAGACAGATGAAAGTCAGCAGTAAATAAACAGTGTTATTGGTGAAAATTTATGTCTTTCTCTATTGGATCATGTTATTTAAATCATGGCAATTATGTGTGAATAGTAATATCGCCCAATGTCCGCCAAATCAGAAAGAAAAAGAAAAAATAAATCATCAGGCGCTTAAAATTAATTCACATGTAAAATCAGTCGAAATTATTGAAACACTTTATACGAACCGTAATTACGTCTACGTTTTAGATTCTAGTGTAAAGCGGACTTAAGTTTACGTTTTGAACTCTAGTGTAATACAAACCTGTCTACGTTAATAAATCTAATATAAAACGGACCTACCTAAGTTTTTGACTCTGCTCTAAAGCAGACGCGTGTCTAGGTTTTTAACACTCGCGTAAAATGGTCCTGTGTCTACGTTTTGTACTGTAGTGTAAAACGGAAATATGTGTATCATTTTGACATTAGTATAAAAATGGATCTCCTTCTACTATTTTGACTATACTCTAAATTGGATCTAAGTCTGATAATTTCATTGTAGTGTAAAACGGATCAATGTCTGCGTTCTGGCCTGCAAACAATAACTTTTGGTCTCGAGTATGAATTCGACCTATGCCATTTGATCTCGCGTAGGAAACGGACCTATGCCATTTGGCCTCGAGTAAGAATCGGATTTATGCCTTTTGGTCTCGAGTAGGAATCAGACCTATGCCTCTTTGTCTCGAGTAGGAATCGGACCTATGACTTTTGATCTCGTGTAGGAATCAGACCTATGCCTTTTGGTCTCGAGTAGGAATCGGACCTATGCCTTTTGGTCTCGAGTAGGAATCGGACTTATGCCTTTTGGTCTCGAGTAGGAATCGGACCTATGCCTTTTGGTCTCGAATAGGAATAGAACCAAGCACCTATCCTCATCCGCCATGCTCTATTTTGACTAACGTCAGACCATACCTGAAACTGAGTATTGCTGTCATATCCTTTCTAGTGATGTCCAGTTACCTCCCCCCCACAGAGTGCAAAGTGTGTACGCTGGCTTGTAAATGATGGAGTATTTTCCATTCTACCACCTCTTTCCTGCAGAAAAAATCTCGCAAGATTTATTGCTATTCTATCCTGATTTTCATGGCAAATGTTCCACCAGTCCAGACCTTCACAGCTAAGAACTGCCATGTTATGTGCACAGAATTGCATCATCCTCATTTATTGCGTATTCAACTTGTAACAAGTTTCATTTCTACAGGTTCTTCCCAGAAACCGTTGCATTAGGCAACATGCTCCTGAGATGATGCTTCCCCAACCACTACAATTTTAACCTCTTCAAATGACACTAAATACAGTCTGCATTGCTTACCTAATCTTACTTCGTCCATAAAACAATCTCATTCAGAAAATTTCAAGAGTGACTTTTTCGGCCTTGTATTTTGTGAACATTAGTATTAAAATTAATTTGGCTGCCTTTCAAATTGCCAACGTTCTTCTTCAGATAGCACAGATCAGAGAAGATGGCCGTTTAGCGCGCGTGACAACTTCAACATGGGGAAACTTTGGTAGACGAAACGTTTCAGAGACTTACGGAAGACATTTTGCTAACGCATGACATTGGGTATGAAATTTGTGGAGGATTTGTCCTGACATTCCAGCGTAGAGTAGTAAGTCTATAAAAAGTCGTTATGGCAGCAGAAGTTATAGTAATAATTGGCAATATTATTGGTCCTGAGCTGGCATCTTGGTTTCAATCACTTTCTCACTGCCATAGAACAATTTGCTTTATACACTTCTATGAATATTTTGACTGTGTTCCGATGAGATTTCTTAGGTCAGATATCGAGTTTTCTTTTTTTTTTCTTTCGTTCTTTTTTTATTTTTGAACACGTGATCTTTCTCTTCTCAATCCCGTTTCCTCTCTTTCCGCACCTATTATCTTCTTTCTTTCTTTCTTTCTTTCTTTCTTTCTTTCTTTCTTTCTTTCTTTCTTTCTCCGCAAAGTGTTTTCGTTCGTTTTTTTTCTATTTTATTTTTTCACAGACGTTTTCTTTCTTTCTTTCTTTCTTTCTTTCTGTGCAAAATTTTCCTTCCAGTTTTTTTACACCTATTGTCTTCTTTCTTTCCTTCTTTCTTTCTTTCTTTCTTTCTTTCTCCGCAAAGTGTTTTCGTTCGTTTTTTTGCTATTTTATTTTTTCACAGACGTTTTCTTTCTTTCTTTCTTTCTTTCTTTCTGTGCAAAATTTTCCTTCCAGTTTTTTTACACCTATTGTCTTCTTTCTTTCTTTCTTTCTTTCTTTTCTCTATTCTTATGTTATGAATTGTCTTCTTTCTTTCTTTCTTTTTTCTTTTTTTATTTTTTTTCACAGACTTTTTCTTTTTCTTTCTTTCTTTCTTTTTCTTTTCTCTATTTTTGTTCCAGTTTTTTTTTTTACTTTCTTTCTTTCTTTCTTTTTTTCTTTCTTTGTTTTTTTTCTTTCTTTCCGCAAAGTTCTTTTTTCTTTCTTTTTTTTTGCTATTTTATTTTTCACAGACATTTTTCTTTCTTTCTTTCTTTTTTTCTCTATTCTTATGTTAAATTTTCTTCCAGTTTTTTTCTTTTCTTTTCTTTCTTTCTTTCTTTCTTTCTTTTGTTCTATTTTATTTTTTTTTTCTTTCTTTTTTTCTTTTTATTTCTTTCTTTTCTTTCTTTCTTTTTTTTTTCTTTTCTTTTCTTTCTTTCTTCTTTCTTTCTTTCTTTCTTTCTTTTTTTCTTTCTGTCTTTTTCTTTCTTTCTTTCTTTCTTTCTTTCTTTCTTTCTCCTTTCTTTCTTTTTCTTTCTTTTTTTCTTTCTATTTTATTTTATTTATTGTCTTCTTTCTTTCTTTCTTTCTTTCTTTCTTTTTCTCTATTCTTATGTTATGAATTGTCTTCTTTCTTTTTTTTCTTTCTTTTTTTTCTTTCTTTTTTCTTTCTTTCTCCTGAAGTCTTTTTTTCTTTTTTCTTTCTTTCTTTTATTTTTTCTTATGTTATTTCTTTCTTTCTTTCTTTCTTTCTTTCTTTTCTCTTTCTTTTTTATTCCAGTCTTTTTTCTTTCTTTCTTTTTTCTTTTTCTTTTCTTTCTTTCTTTTTTCTTCTTTCCGCTTTCTTTTTTCTTTTTTGCTATTTTCTTTTTTTTCTTTTCTTTCTTTCTTTCTTTCTTTTTTCTATTCTTAAAATTTTCTTTCTTTCTTTTTTCTTTTCTCTATTCTTCTTTCTTTTCTTTCTTTCTTTCTTTCTTTCTTTCTTTTTTCTTTCTTTCTTATGAACTGTCTTCTTTCTTTCTTTCTTTTTTTTTCTATTTTATTTTTTCACAACTGTTTTTTTTTTTCTTTCTTTCTTTCTTTCTTTTTTTTCTTTCTATTTTCCTTCCATTTTTTTACACCTTGTTGTCTTCTTTCTTTCTTTCTTTTTTTATTTCTATTCTTTTTCTTTCTTTCTTTCTTTCTTTCTTTCTCCGCTTTCTTTTTCTTTCTTTTTTTTTCTATTCTTATTTTTTGAATTGACTTTTTCTTTCTTTCTTTCTTTTTTCTTTCTCTATTCTTATGTTATGAGTTTTTTACACCTCTTTCTTTCTTTCTTTCTTTTTTCTTTCTTTTTTTCTTTCTTTTTTTTTCTTTCTTTTTTTTTTTTTTCTTTTTTCTTTTTTCTTTTCTTTCTTTCTTTCTTTATTTCTTTTTTTTCTTTCTTTTCTTTTTTCTTTCTTTTCTTTTTCTTTTTCTCTTTTCTTATGTTATGAACTTCTTCTTTTCTTTCTTTTTTCTTTTTTTTTTTCTATTCTTATGTTATGAGACTCTTTTCTTTCTTTTCTTTCTTTCTTTCTTTTCTCTTTCTTATGTTATGACTTTCTTTCAGTTTTTTTTTTTTTTTTTTTTTTCTCTATTCTTATGTTATGAACTTCTTTCTTTCTTTCTTTCTTTCTTTCTTTTCTCTATTCTTATGTTATGTACTGTCTTCTTTCTTTCTTTCTTTCTTTCTTTCTTTTCTCTATTCTTATGTTATGAGCTCTCTTCTTTCTTTCTTTCTTTCTTTTTCTCTATTCTTATGTTTTTTTCTATTTTCTTTTTTTTCTTTCTTTCTTTCTTTTCTTTCTTTCTTTTTCTTTCTTTCTTTCTTTCTTTTCTTTATTCTTATGTTATTTCTTTCTTTCTTTTTCTTTCTTTCTTTCTTTTTTTTTCTTTCTTTTTCTTTCTTTTCTTTTCTTTTCTTTCTTTCTTTTTCTTTTCTTTTATTCTTTATTCTTTGTTATTTTTTCTTTCTTTCTTTTCTTTCTTTTTCTCTTTCTTATGTTATGAACTTTTTCTTTCTTTCTTTCTTTTTTCTTTCTTTTTTCTATTCTTTCTTTATGAACTGTTTCTTTTCTTTCTTTCTTTCTTTTCTTCTTTTCTTTTCCATGAACTGTTTCTTTCGTTTTTTTCTTTCTTTATTTTTTCATTCTTTCTTTTTTCTTTCTTTCTTTTTCTTTCTTTCTTTCTTTCTTTTTTTTTTCTTTCTTTCTTATTTTATGTTATGAATTGTCTTCTTTCTTTCTTTCTTTTTTTTTTTTCTTTTCTTATGTTATGCAACTTTCTTTCTTTCTTTTTTCTTTTTTTTCTTATTTTTCTTTTTTTTTCGTTTTGTTTCTTTTCTTTCTTTTCTTTCTTTTCTTTCTTTTCTTTTCTTATGTTTTTTTTGTCTTCTTTCTTTCTTTCTTTCTTTTCTCTTTCTTTCTTTTCTTTCTTTCTTTTCTTTTTTTTTTCTTTCTTTTTTCTTTCTTTCTTTTTTTTCTCTATTCTTATGTTATGTACTGTCTTCTTTCTTTCTTTCTTTCTTTCTTTTCTCTATTCTTATGTTAAAATTTTTCTTTCTTTCTTTTTTTTTTTTCTATTTTTATTTATGAACTGTCTTTCTTTCTTTCTTTCTTTTCTTTTCTTTTGTTTCTTCTTCTTTCTTTCTTTCTTTCTTTTTTTTCCTATTCTTATTTTTTGAACTTCTTTTTCTTTCTTTTTCTTTCTTTTTTTCTTTCTTATGTTATGAACTGTCTTCTTTCTTTTTTTTCTTTTTTTTTTCTTTCTATTCTTTTCTTTTGTTTCTTTTTTCTTTCTTTCTTTCTTTCTTTTTTTCTATTCTTTTTTTACAGACTGTCTTCTTTTTTTCTTTCTTTCTTTCTTTTCTTTTCTTTCTTATCTTTCTTTCTGAACTTTCTTTTTCTTTCTTTTTCTTTTTTTCTATTCTTTGTTATTTACTGTCTTTTTCTTTTTTTTCTTTCTTTTTTTCTATTCTTTGTTATGTACTGTCTTCTTTTCTTTTTTTTTTTTTTCCTATTCTTTTTATGTCTTCTTTTCTTTCTTTCTTTCTTTTTCTCTTTCTTATGTTATTCTGTTTCTTTTTTTTTTCTTTTTTTTTTTTCTCTATTCTTTTTTTGAACTTTCTTTCTTTCTTTTTCTTTCTTTCTTTTTTCTTTCTTATTTTTAACTGTCTTCTTTCTTTCTTTTTTTTCTCTTTCTTTCTTTCTGTCTTCTTTCTTTCTCCTTTCTTTCTTTTTCTTTGTTTCTTTTTTTTTTCTTTTTTTCTTTTCCCTCTTTCTTATTTTCTTTTTTCTTTTTCTTTCTTTCTTTCTGTTCTTATGTTTCCTTCCAGTTTTTTTCTTTCTTTGTTTTCTCTTTCTTTCCTTTCTTTCTTTCTTTTCTTTCTTTTCTTTTCTTTCTTATGAAAGTCTTTTTCTTTCTTTTTTTCTTTTTTTCTCTTTTTTTTATGAATTTCTTTCTTTCTTTCTTTTCTTTCTTTTTTCTATTCTTATTTTATGAACTTCTTTTCTTTTTTTTTCTTTCTTTCTTTCTTTCTTTTCTTTCTTTTAAGAAAGTGTCTTTCTTTTTTTTTTCTTTTTCTTTTTTTCTTTCTTTCTTTTCTCTATTCTTATGTTATTTTTTCTTCTTTTTTCTTTCTTTTCTTTTCTTTTCTTATTCTTATGTTATGAACTGTCTTCTTTCTTTCTTTCTTTCTTTCTCTCTTTCTTATGTTCCGCAAACTGTCTTCTTTCTTTTTTTCTTTTTTTTTTTCTATTCTTATGTTTTTTTCTTTCTTTCTTTTTTTTTTTTTTTCTTATTTTTTCCTTCTTTTTTTTTCTTTCTTTTTCTCTATTCTTATGTTATGAACTGTCTTCTTTCTTTCTTTCTTTCTTTCTTTCTTTATTTTCTGTTTCTTTCTTTTTTTTCTTTCTTTTTTCTTTTCTTTCTTTTTTCTTTTCTTTTTTCTTTCTTTCTTTTCTTTCTTATGTTATTTTCTTCTTTCTTTTTTTCTTTCTTTCTTTTCTCTTTCTTATGTTTCTTTCTTCTTTCTTTCTTTCTTTCTTTTTCTTTCTTATGTTATGAACTGTTTTCTTTCTTTTTCTTTCTTCTTTTTTCTCTTTCTTTCTTTCTTTCTTTCTTCTTTCTTTCTTTCTTTTTTTCTCTTTTTTTTTTATGACTTTCTTTCTTTCTTTCTTTCTTTCTTTCTCTTATTCTTATGTTATGACCGTCTTCTTTTCTTTCTTTCTTTCTTTTTTTTCTTTTCTTTCTTTTTTCTTTCTTTCTTTCTTTTTTTCTATTCTTTCTTATGTTATGAACTGTCTTCTTTCTTTCTTTCTTTTTTTCTTTCTTATGTTTTTTCTTTTCTTTTTTTCTTTTTTTTCTCTTTCTTATGTTATGTACTGTTTCTTTCTTTCTTTTCTTTCTTTTTCTTTCTTATGTTATGAATTTTTTGTTCTTTTTTTTTCTTTTTCTATTTTTTTATGAACGTTTTCTTTCTTTCTTTCTTTCTTTCTTTCTTTTCTTATTTTCCTTCCAGTTTTTTCTTTCTTTTTTCTTTTTTTTTTCTATTCTTATTCTTTCTTTCTTTCTTTCTTTCTTTTCTTTTGTTTTCGTTTTTTTTTTCTATTTTATTTTTTTATGAGACTTTCTTTTTTTTTTCTTTCTTTCTTTCTTTTCTCTATTCTTATGTTATGTTTTTTTTTCTTTCTTTCTTTCTTTTTCTCTATTCTTATGTTATGAATTGTCTTCTTTCTTTCTTTCTTTCTTTTTTCTCTATTCTTATGTTATTTCTTTCTTTCTTTCTTTCTTTCTTTCTTTTTCTCTATTCTTATGTTATGAATTGTCTTCTTTCTTTCTTTCTTTCTTTTTTCTTTTCTCTATTCTTATGTTATGAACTTCTTTCTTTCTTTCTTTCTTTCTTTCTTTCTTTCTTTTCTTTCTTTCTTGTCTTCTTTCTTTCTTTCTTTCTTTTTCTCTATTCTTATGTTATGAACTGTCTTCTTTCTTTCTTTCTTTCTTTTTCTCTATTCTTATGTTATGAACTGTCTTCTTTCTTTCTTTCTTTCTTTTTCTCTATTCTTATTCTTTCTTTTCTTTCTTTCTTTCTTTTCTCTTTCTTCTTATGTTTTTGTTTTTCTTTCTTTCTTTCTTTTTTTTTCTTATGTTATATTCTGTCTTCTTTCTTTCTTTCTTTCTTTTCTTATATTTTGTCTTATTTCTTTCTTTCTTCTTTCTTTTTATGTACTTTTCTTTATTTTTTTCTATTCTTATTTTTTCTTTTATGTCTTCTTTCTTTCTTTCTTTTCTTTCTTTTTTCTCTATTCTTATGTTATGAACTTTTCTTCTTTTTTCTTTCTTTCTTTTCTTTTTCTTTTCTTTTATGTTTTGTCTTCTTTTTCTTTCTTTCTTTTCTTTCTTTTCTCTATTCTTATGTTATGAATTCTTTCTTTCTTTCTTTCTTTTTCTTTCTTTTTTCTATTCTTATTTCTTCTTTCTTTCTTTCTTTTCTTTCTTTTTTTCTATTCTTATGTTGCAAATTGTCTTTTCTTTCTTTTTTTTTCTTTTTTTTCTTTTCTCTATTCTTATTTCTTTCTTTCTTTCTTTTCTCTATTCTTTTTCTTTCTTTTCTTTCTTTCTTTTTCTCTATTCTTATGTTATGAATTCTTTTTTCTTTCTTTCTTTCTTTCTTTTCTCTATTCTTATGTTATGTATTGTCTTTTTCTTTTTTTTTTTCTTTTTATTTTTTCATGATTCTTATGTTATTTTCTTTCTTTCTTTCTTTTTTTCTTTCTTTTCTCTATTCTTTCCTGTTATTTTTTTCTTTCTTTTTTTTCTTTTATTTTCTTTTCTTCTTTCTTTTCTTTCTTTCTTTCTTTTTTCTTTCTTCTTTGTTTCTCTTTCTTCTCTTTTTTTGTTTTCTTTCTTTTTTTTCTTTTTTTCTTTCTCAGATGTTTCTTTTCTTTCTTTCTTTCTTTCTTTTCTTTCTTTTTCTATTCTTATGTTAAAACTGTCTTCTTTCTTTCTTTCTTTCTTTTCTTTTTCTCTATTCTTATGCACTGTCTTTTTCTTTCTTTCTTTCTTTTTTTCTTTTTTCTTCTTTTTTCTTTCTTTTTTCTCTTTTTTCTTTCTTTCTTTCTTTCTTTCTTTTTTTCTTCTTCTTATTTTGTAAAATCTTCTTTCTTTCTTTCTTTCTTTCTTTCTTTCTCTTTCTTTCTTTTTTCTTTTCTTTCTTTTTATCTTTTTATTTATTTCTCTTCTTTCTTTTTTTTTCTTTTTATTTTTTATAGACTGTCTTCTTTTCTTTTCTTTCTTTCTTTCTTTTTTCTATTCTTATTTTTTTTACACTCTCTTCTTCTTTCTTTTCTTTTCTTTTCTTTCTTTTCTTTCTTTCTTTCTTTTCTCCGCTCTTCTTTTCTATTCTTTTTTTTCTTTTTCTCTTCTTTTTCTTTTTTTTTTCTTTCTTTCTTTCTTTCTTTCTTTTCTTTTTCTTTCTTTTTCTTTTTCTCTATTCTTATTTTCGTTCTTTTTTTTCTTTTTTCTTTTTTTTTCTCTTTTCTTTTCTTTCTTTTCTTTCTTTCTTTCTTTCTTTCTTTCTTTTCTCTATCCAAAAGTGTTTTCGTTCCTTTTTTGTCTATTTTATCTTTCCATTCACGTTTTCTTTCTTTCTTTCTCTGCGAAGTTTTCCTTTAATTTTTGTTATCTTCTGTTATCTTCTTTCTTTCTTTCTTTCTTTCTTTCTTTTTCTTTCTGCATTTCTTTCTCACCTTCTTTCTTTCTTTCATTTTGTCTTTCTTTATGTCCTTCTGTCATTATTTCTATCCTACCTTTTTTTCTGTTGGTTTTCACTCTTTCCATATCGTTTTACTTTCTTTCTTTTCATTTTTTGCACAGATATCTTCTTCCTTCCTTCCTTCCTTCCTTCCTTCCTTCCTTCTATCCTTCCTTCCTTCCTTCCTTTCTTTCTTTTCTTTCTTTCTTTTCACTCTTTCGACACACTTTTCTTTCTTTCATTTTCCTCTCTTTTTTTTTTTTTTCACACCATTTCCTTTCTTTCTTTCTGTCTTTCTTTCTATCTCAGATATTCCACACTTTTCTTCTTTTTTCTATACTTCTTATTCTCGACAGATTACCATTCTTTTCGCAACTTCTGCAATTTTTCTTAAGGCTTTTTCTACCATTTTCCCTCTCTTCTTTAATTTTATATTATTTCTGGCTATATTTTTCCTTCTCCCCATTTCTCTTTCCTACCCACTTCCTCCTATCGCCCCCGCCTTTCTTTTGCCCCCCGCCTTTTCTTCTCCATTTCTTCTTCTTCTTCTTCACCATTCTTTCCTGAGAGTCATCACTCTTTTTCTCGCTGCTCTCAAACACAAGTGCAAATTTGATTTGACAGACTGTTGGCGGGTAATTTCAGCTTATTTTATTCTCTTGGACGATTTTTTCTGGTTTTTGTTTTTCATTTCGTTCCGTTTTATTGCCGATTTCGATTTTTCGGAATTTCTCTGTTCTTTTCCGAAGATTTTTAGACCGATGGCATATTTCAAAAAGGAAAAATCATTGCGCGAGGCAAACAAAAGTAAAGTGCGTCATAATAGCCGCCTGAATCATTATAACTTCCCCAAATTATGAAGAATAAAATAGCTAACACAAGTAAAAAAACTGAGAGAGAAAGACAAGCGTATTTACATTAAAAGATATATATATATATATATATATATATATATATATATATATATATATATATATATATATATATATATATATATATATATTAAAGTAATGAAAAAACTTGACAATCCGTATGGGTAGTCCCAAGGAGGATGAGATCCTGAGAGCTCAATGTAAATTCAAAGTTAATAATTTAACGAAAACCAGACCAATTTAAAATTCATTGTAATGTTTATTTCACCAGAGACCTTTAAGGACGCTGGCTCTTCAGACGTCATTTCAAAAGTTGAAACGAAAAATGAAATGAAAATTTACACTTTTGACTTTTTTCGTTTCACCTTTTGAAAGTGATGTCTGAAGATCCGGATACTTTAAAAGGTCTCTGGTGAAATAAACTATTACAATGGAACTTAAAATGATTTCGTTCATAAATTATATATATATATATATATATATATATATATATATATATATATATATATATATATATATATGTGTGTGTGTGTGTGGAGAGAGAGAGAGATTGGGGAGAGAGAGAGAAATACTTTATCTTGGTAAATGTTAATTTTAGTGGGTATGTGTTTGAGCTGACAGATATAGAGCGAGACACACTCTCACATTCGCGCAACCTCCCCCCATATATATATATATATATATATATATATATATATTATTTATATGGACCATTATCTATGTTTTTAAAATAAAAAAAAAAATTAATACTAAAAACTCAGCATTATATATCTGACTGTTCTTTCCTATTATTTGAATAGGTATATATATATATATATATATATATATATATATATATATATATATATATAGGGTTAGTGTATACGGAATAAATTTTTGAATAACCAAAATTACTATTCTTAAAAAAAGAGTGCTCAATACAGGTTAGAGCAAATAGAGTTTATTCGAAAATTATAAAATAAATATTTTACAAAATCACTACAAAAATAGCCGTTTTGTTTCAACTCTTCTGCTGTCCTATCAAGTGATGCTGTTGAATGTAAATATTTTGATAAGATACAGGAAGGCTTGGCAGAAAATGGCTATTTTTGAGTTATTTTATAACATATTTATGTTATTGTTTTCGAATAAATCAAACACACACACACACACACACACACACACACACACACACACACACACACACACATATATATATATATATATATATATATATATATATATTGATTAGGGTAAACGTATGACAAAGTAGAAATATTTTACCTGTGACGCGTTTCGTCTTTCAAGACATCATCGGATTAAACGTTATGTTGGTACAACTACACATGGGGATGCACGAAAGTAAATGTGCACCATGGCTCTTACAATATTTTACAATTCCTGATAGATTTCCTATTATTACACAGTGAGCTTCTTCCAAAAGTGACGTAAAGAGGTAGAAAACGACTGTAAATGAAATTGCCTAGATATATAAAAAAAAAAAAATTATAAAATTCCCAGCATCTCTCGTTCGTGCGCATGTGTAGACGCACCAAC